CTTCCAACCTCTGTATCATTAAAAATAAAAATGATAATAAACCATAAAATTGACGATTAAGGTGCCCCTGACCCAAGCCATGGTATTTTCAGTAACCTCTTATGCGTGCAAAAGCTGGACAGTGAATAAGGAAGACTGGAGAAGAATTTATGCTTTTGAGTTATGGTGTTGGAGGAGACTATTGAAAGTGCCATGGGCTGCCAAAAGAACCCACAGATCTGTGTTGGAAGAAGTGCAGCCAGAGTACTCCTTGGAGGCCAGGATGGCCAAACTTCGTCTCTCAAACTTCAGACATATTGTCAGGAGGGGCCAGTCGCTGGAGAAGGATATCATGTTTGGTAGCGTGAAGGGTCATAGAAAAAGAGGAAGACCCCCAGCGAGATGAAATGGCAAAGTGGCAGCATCAATGGGCTCAAGCGTAGTAACAACTGCGAGGTTGGCAAGGGCCGGGTAGTGTTTCGTTCTGTTGTACACAGGGTCTCTATGAGTCAGTACCTACTCGATGGCACCTAACAATAACAACAACAAACCATAAAATAAGTGTACATCAGTCCAAAAAGGTCTAATTTCCACCCCCAAAGAAACTTTGCTATACTTTTAAAGAACTATCCAGGAATACATACTTTCAGCAAAAGATTGGTTTTTGCTTATATACCATTATTTTTTCTAATGCCTTAAGCACAGTCTATTTAAAGTAATTCGGTATAGCCAAAAATAAAATCATGGCACCTGAAATATTCAAATACAAGTACAACGGAGTCACACCTAATGTATTATAGATTTATTATATTTGATATTTTGAAATTCCAATCAGAAGCATAATCTGCTACATTTTCTAATATGGTTTAAAAGCTCCTTTAGTTTGGGTTTCAGTCCTGGCCAGGCCACTTAGCACACATAACCTTCAATAAGTCTCATCTCTCTGAGTTTCCACTTGGTTAAATAGTTGTACTGCATGTATCCATGAATGTAATCAATATTGTTTAGTTATACATGCAGAAACAGTTGAACCGGTGGATGTTTAATTTGCTACATTTTCACTGAAAATAGTAACTGGAAGAAATTCTGATGCCAGCATGATAGCACTGTTGTGAACAAAAACGAAAATGGAAAATGACCTAAGAAGCCCAAAACAGTCTACCGCGAAACCTGTGAGAAAACCGGAAGTAGACGGAAGTGCCTTGACATTCCAGAGCTCATCAGTTTCCCACCTTTGGCAGGGTACAGTCACCACTTTTCTATCACTCGTTCTAGTGGAAGAGATATAAATTTTCCTTCTCTGCTAGGTTTCTACCTTACATAGGTTCAGGCTGCGGCAGGCTTAACTATGAATATAAGGTATATTGATGGTACTTATTACAGCTATAAGGAGCTCTGATAGCGTAGTGGTTACTGGGAACCTCAAGGTCAGCAGTTTGAAACTACCAGCTGTTCCGCCGGAGAAAGATAAGGCTTTCTGCTCCCGTAAAGATTTACACCCTCGGAAACCCTGTACAGGGTCGCTATGGGTCGGAATCGACTTGATGGCACTTAACAACAACAACATTACAGCTATATTGTTTTCTTCATTAACTATTGTTGTTAAGTGTCGTGGAGTGTGTTCCAACTCATAGCGACCCTGTATAGGGTTTCCAAGGAGTGAGCTTAAACCGCCGACCTTGTGGTTCAAACCGACCTGAGGTCCAGCGCATTAACCCTCAGCGTCCCATGTTTATTTTGTCTCCCCAAGGAAATCCATGTGCAAATTGTGCTACTACATTCTCCATTTTGAATCTAGTCCTCACTAAATGTAATGTGGCACTGTAGGATAAAACACGGGACTGCAAGGTCAGTTTAAACTGCAAGGTCGGTGGTTCAAACTCACCAGCTACTCCTGGGAAACTCTACACAGGGTGACTATGAGTCAGAACCAGCTCGTCGGCACTTAAGAACAACAAAAACAAATGAAATGTGAAAAAACACATTTTTCCCCCCAGAAGAGTCTAATAAGGAGTAATTCTAGCATGTCTATTAAGCATCACGCTACATAAATTTGCTAAGAAAGAGAAGTTCTTTTGAACCGGTCAAATGTTCAGTCCTGGGCATGCAGAAAGGATTGAATATAAACTTCGCCAGGTTGATGATTAATGGATTTATTTTACAGTAGTCAAATTCTATAACTTAGAAGCCCAGTACAAAGTGGATTACAGTGTTATAGGTATAAAAGTATCTGAAGTTAAACACTAAAGTACACTTTTAAACAGAACATTGAATCTAGACAAAGTCTGAGAAGTTCTTGAGAGGTCCTCAGTGTCCATTCGAGACAAATACATACATATGTCCTATTTTTGGTGGTTTTGATGAAAGAAAAGTCCATTGTCTTATCTGGTTACCTATTTGCTTAAACTTATTATCAGGAAATTCCATTGTATCTTTCTAATCCTCATTTTCCTTATGAAATTGAAGCTCATTTATCTTATTTTGGGTTTCACAAAATAGCAGTAAACTCTATCCTACGTCACAACTCTTGGTTTATCTGAAGCAAATGACTGCCAACTCCCAGTTTTCCTTTTTCCAAATGAAAGAATATCCTTATCTTCCTCAGAGTTGAATTTGAAATCTTTTCACTCTGACTTCAGTTTTCTGTGGCCCTTCAGTAAAGGCCATAAAATCATCTTCAATTGTGAAGCCAAACTCTGGAACTCTGTTCCTATCAGAGTCTGACCACAGAGCTGACAGACCACAAACACCATCAGTCCTAAGCCTATGAACTACTGTGATTTGCCTGGGCTCACACTGTACCAACCTTACCTGTAAAAAGATATCCCAATAAAAACTCAACACAAAGGAAATAAACACAAAGACTCAAGATATCTAGTTTCACTGCAGGAAACAGAGTGAACTACCTAGGTGTCTTAATTGTTTTTTAAGTTTACTGTAAATTTCCCTGAGATTTTAATTTCTGAAAGTCAAAGTTATCACAAACAGGTTCAAGACACAATATTTTAGAAAAAAACTGATATGACATACAAGCTCAGTATCTATTCCCTTGTTCTACTTTTATGTCGTTGTTACAATCAAGCACATGGTAGTATGACTTAACAGAGTTGTGAATCTCTGTAATATGAGGTATCATGAGCATATTAAATCAATTCTTTCCATTATATGACTAAAGAGCCCAACCACCCCTATGAAAACCAAATAGGACCATTATTTTCTACTCCCGTAAAGATTTACACCCTCGGAAACCCTGTACAGGGTCGCTATGGGTCGGAACCGACTCGACGGCACTTAACAACAACAACAAACTATAAACCTGATTCACATAAATGTAACAATTTTATGTAAGGAAAAAAATATGTCAAACAAAATGCATAATTAAAACAAACAAACAAAAAAGATTTAATTTTACATGGTAAAAAATGTTTACACTTCCAATGATACTGCTAATGGGGGGACTGATGGATAAAACTGGTCCTTATGATAAATGCAATATTAGTAACACAATTTTATCTGCAAGGATTTTTCTGGCTTTAATTCAATGAAATCCATTATCCTAGGTGGTAATGGAGCAGCACACCCTTCCCATCTGAGGCATCTTTAGTCTCCTGAGCTGATTTAAAGCCTTGGAAATAATAAAAGGTCAAGCAGATCCCAGTAAGCATTTGTAAACTACAATAGCTCCCCATTTCAGCTAGAGGCCACACATTTCCCTGCTAAGCTTTGCTCACTCTCTTGTTTCATTTCATTGTATCAGCAAGTTAATTTGAAAATGGCTAGGTTGCTTGGGAGCACCCAGATTTCCCAAACAACCCCAATTCCTACTTAACCACTTACAGAACAGACCCATAATACATCATTTGAGAGAATTGTAAAATGGTGCCTAGACACTGAAGGAATGAATACCAAAGAGCAACACGATGAAATAAAAATGAATGCACTTCACCTTCCATCTCAGCTCTGTTTTCTCCGACACAAGGCACAAACATGACAAGGTTGGGTGGGATCTCAAGAAAACTGATTTGTTTCAACATTCATTTGGCAAGATACTGGATGCAAAATACCACAAGCCACCTCCCTTTCCCATCATGGCAAATTCAGGGCCCTCATTATCACCCCTCACACACCCAATTAAAAATAAAGAAAAGAGGCTGGCTATGAATTCGCATTTAGTGCTATGATAACAGATGAAATGATAGGCATCTGTCCTAATTGGTCACAATGAAACTGAGAGACAATAACAAGAATAAACCTCACATTAATCCAAATGAAGCCAATGAATAATAACTCAAACCAGAAGATAGTTTCAAAAATATGCAATTATCTCCAAGGATGCACAGGCATTTATATCCCATAAAAATGATTGCAAAGCACACTCTGCATATAAATATGCTCCATAAATGGAATACAAATGCCAAGTAACATGTGCATATATGATCTACATAAAGTATATACATTTTATGTACACAATCAGATCTATACACTAAAAATGAAACTGCATTAGACAAACGGATTCTCCAAGAGACTAGGTCAAATACATTAGAATATGAAATAGAATGTGAATTCTGGGGCCATCTTTTCTTAGCAATGGAAGGAATAAGCAAAACCAGAAGCTTGGAAGGCACCAAATGTGTTTTTGAGGAAGGCCCAAGCCTGTATGTGAGAGCTGCAAATGAAATGATTTCTTTCAATTACTCTCATTTCCCGCTGCTAGCTCTTTTTACATCCTCTGGTTCTGTTGCGAAGCCGGGGAGGAAAGGAACCAAGGGGCTCAGTCTTCATTATTCTAAGCTAATTTGAGATAAAAATTACAGCACCTTTTTTTTTTTTTTCTAACACAAGCGGACGCCTTCTCACTTCTCTCTCTTTGCCAACCTTTCTCTCCATCCCCATCTCTGTCTCAAGATCTTCCCCTTCTAGACTAAAGGACGGGAGTCATTGTTCAAGTTCAGGCCGCAAACGTATACACAGGTTCTCTAATAAGTTAAATCAAGAAGATAGCCCCACTATCTCCTACTTACCATGCTGAGACCCGGAGAAGCTGTTGAAAGGAGTGATAGCTGCAAACTGAATCCATTTTCCTTATGACCCCGTCGGATGCAGCCTGCGAACCCAACATCAGCAGCGGCTGCTGGGTTTTGGGTTTTTTTTCCCCCTCCCTCTCTGGTTGGCGATGGTGCGAACAGGAACCACCCTTCCAACCCCACTAGAGTACCAGCAGTAGAGATGGCAGAAGCAGCAGCATCACCACTTTGGCCTCCTCCCTCTCGGAGGATGGGGTGAGCTCCGAATCAGCCAGGAACTTGCAGCAGACACCTCCTCTGGCTCCTCCTTTCTCCCCCTCCCCCACAGCCCCACCCCTGCTGCGGTAGAGGCTGCCTGGCCCCGCAGCTGCTGGTTGCCATGGCAATGGCCAATGAGAAGCGATCAGACTAAGGGGGAGGGGGAGATGGGTGAAGTAAGCTGCAAGGTTTGAGGAGAGAATTTGTGCTGCCCCCCTACGGGATGCTGTTGGTCTATCCTGCGCTGGACTCCAGGTCTTCAAAAATGGGGCCAGGGTGGCTAGGCACGGGATGGAAATAATGAAAATTTAATTGAAATTTAGGTTGAAGCATGCGAAACATTTTAGGTATTTTTTGCTTTTTCTTTACTTTTCCAGTAAAATGTAGGGGGAGGTGATGTCCTGTGGTAGCAGATTGTTGTTGTTGTTAAATACAGTAGAGTCGGTTCCGAATCCTACAGATCCTGCACAGGGTTTCCGAGGCTGTAAAACTTTGCAGGAGCAGAAAGCCTTATCTTTCTCCCGCGGAACACCTGGTAGTTTTGAAAAACGCCCTTGAGGTTAGCAGCCAGATTCGGAAACCACTAAGCTACCAGAGCTCCTTACTGTTATTCAAAATATTTGCTTGCCCTTTTCAGCATCTTTTACTGAATGGCACTCAAGGTCATAAGAACAGAAGAGTGTGGCTGCACTTAGAAATAAAATTGGAGCCTGATTCATTGGCCCTACTCCTGGTTTGTTTTCAGGTAAGTTTCTTGGTCCTGTTGTTTTTTCAGCGCCCACTATGTAAAGGACAAGTGATTTGTGTTACTTCCTTGTTGGAATAGAGGACACTAGTACAATGGTTCTTAGCAGCATCACTGATAGACAATATCAAACCTTCTTAGAGTTCAATTTGGGGAGTTTTCACATTTCCTTGAATTTTTAGCAATTCTATGTCACTTTGATGGATGCCCAATTGAAGTTCCCAAGCAAGCTGACAGGCACGGTGTTAGATAGGAAAAGGGGAAATGTAATCAAGAGTGTTGAGTTCTCCATGTTTATAATTTATAAATGACACTTATAGAGCAGTTATAAAGATTGACTGAGATGTTGCACTGAAATCACCTTGCATGCCTTAAGTATGCAATAGCTATTTGCTACTATTACTACTGCTATATTGTTCCCATCTTTTAATGCCATGAAGGAATAACTTGAACATTTCCAACATAGGAAAAAAAAATAAACTGAAAAAAATCCTTAAAAATATATCATTGATGATGATGATGGCAGCAAAGATATGGGGGCCTTGAGAGATTAAGTGTTCTCTATAACTTCACTATAGGATCAAGAGAAGGTATTGAAGGAAGATGTCCGAGCTGCACTGGAGGCATTGGTAAACACAAGACTCCATATATCGTTTTAATGCCAATTAAGATGTTTCAGTAATTGGATGCAGAATTGAAAGCATTCATTCATCTATGCCATGAAATTTGGAGGCAGCTACTTGGCAACACCAACTGGAAGACATCCATTTTTGTACCCATTCTAAAGAAAGATGATCCAACAAAATGCCGAGTTTATCACACAATATCATAACTCATAAGTAAAATTTTTCTGAAGATAATTCAAAAGCAGTATCGGCATGGTATTGCTAGGAACTCAAGCCAGACTCAGAAGAGTACTAGGAAGGAGGGACCTCAAAGCTGGTGTTAACCGGATTGGGACTGAAAACAGAGAATACCAGAAAGATATTTACTTATCTTTTATGATTATGCTAAAGTATTCAACGGTGTGAATTATAACAAATTATTGATAACACTTCAAAGAATGGGAATTCTAGAACACTTAATTGTGTTCATGCAGAATTTACTCACAGACCAAAAGGCAATTGTTTGAAACAGCAAAAGGATACTGCGTCCTATGAAATTAGGAAAGGTGTGTGTTTGGGTTGTATCCTTTCACCATATTTATTCAATTTGTATCATGAGCAAATAATCCGAGAAACTGGACTATATGATGAAGAGCCCAGCATCAGGATTGGAGAAAGGTTCATTAACAACCTATGGCATACAGATGATACAACCTTGCTTGGTAAAAATGAAGAGAATTTAAGTACTTATTGATAAAGATCATGGATTACAGTCTTCAGTATGGATTATATCTCAATGTAAAAGAAAATAGCAAATACTCACAACAACATGATGAATGAAGAAGATTAAAATTTTCAAGGATTTCATTTTTCGGTACGATGCTGTGGATTAATGCACTGACTTGTAAAGCCGTTTCAATCTCAGCTTGGCAGTTTAAGCTCACCAGTCGCTCCTTGGAAACCCTATACAGACAGTGTTGCTATAGGTCAAAACTGACTCAACGGCACTTAACAACAACAACACAAGTATCACCAGGAAATCAGCAGTCAAGAAATCAATGTATTTTGCTGATCAAATGTCCAGCTTAAGACGGTTTTAAAGAGTGGCAAGGCAAAGATATCACTTTGAGAACTAAGGTAAGCCTGATCCAAACCATGGTATTTTCAGTTGCCTCATATGGTAGAACTGGAATAATTGATTGATACATTTGAATTATGGTGTTAGGGAAGAATATATTGTCAGGAGGGACCAGTCACTGGAGAAGGATATCATGTTTGATAAGGTGGAGGGACAGAGAAAAAGAGGAAGGCCCCCAACGAGATGAATTGGCCAAGTGGCAGCATCGATGGACTCAAGCATGGCAACAGTAGTGAGGTTGTCCCAGGATTGGGCAATACTTCGTTCTTCTGTGCATAAGATTGCTATGGGTCGGTACTGACTCTATGGCACCTAACAACAACAACAACATACCATTGACTGTCAGAAGAACAAGCAAATCTACTTTAGAAAAAGCACAACCAGAATGTCCCTTGGAAGGGAAGAAGGCAAGACTTCGTCTTACATACTTTGGGCATGTTATCAAGAAGGATTAATCCATAGAGAAGGACTTCACTCTTGGTAAAGTTGAGGGTCAGAAAAGGAGGAATGGCTTGACAAAATGGATTGACAAAGTGGCTGCAACAAAATCACTATTGTTAAAATGGCATAAGACCTGGAAATGTTTCATTATGTTGTTCATGGGGTCACTATGAGTCTGAATCAACTTGATGGCACCTAACAACAACACAATGGCTATAAAGGACATTGTAAATCAGACCCATGGTCATAAATTCTGACTCAGAGTGAGGCTGTAAGACAGACTAGAACTGCCCCATAGGGTTACCAATGCTCTAAATCTTTATGGAAGTCGACTAATACATCTTCCTTCTACAGAACCAGTGGTGGGTTGGGACCACTGTCCTGTGGTTTAGAAACCAGTGGCTTATCTACTGCACCACTGCAACTCCTTTGGTAAATCATGCTGTTGTTATTAAGTGCTGTTAAGTTGATCTTGATGCAAAGCAACCCTGTATAGGGCTTCCAAGGGGCAACTGGTGGGTTTGAACTACCTGTCTATGATTCACATTCAAGTTCTGTTCCTACAGTGCCACAACTAGTTACATTTCCCAAATTCACACAGCTTATAAATGTGCAAAAGAAGACCTCCATCAAGGTGAATTAACACCGTGACAGCAGCAATGGGCTCAAGCATAACAACAATTGTAAGAATGGCACAGGACCAGGCAGTGTTTCGTCCTGTTGTGCCTAGGAGTGCAATTATCAACTCGATGGCACATAACACCAACAGCATCAATGGAACAGCCAAAATAAGCATTCTTAGTCTTCTAAAACAAATATTTACATAACATTTTGCATCCCTACTATGATGCAGTAGTTAAAGCACTTAGCTGCTAACTGAAAGGTGGGAAGTTCAAACCCACCCACCAGAGTGTCCTCTGGAAAAAGATGTGTCAGTCTGCTTCAGTAAAGATTAAAGTCTTGGAATCCCTATAGGACAGTTCTACTAGGTCCCAGGGTTGCTCTGAGTTGGAATCAACTCTGGGACATTTGGTTTGGTTTGGGCTAATAATAAAGGAGCTCTGGTAGCGTAGTGGTTACGAATCGGGCTGTGAACCTTAAGATCAGCAGTTTGAAACTACCAGCTGCCCCGTGGGAGAAAGATGAGGCTTTCTGCTCCCGTAAAGATGTACAGCCTTGGAAATGCTGTACAGGGTCGCTATGGGTCAGAACTTACTCGACGGCTCTTAACAACAACAACAACAATAATATAATGGAGTCCTGGTGTGGCACTGTGGTTAATGCACTGGACTGTAAGGTTGGCTTGAACTACAAGGTCAGTGGTTCAAGCTCATCAGCCACTTCTTGAAAACCCTATAAAGGGTCGATTTGAGTTGGAACCAACTCGACAGCACTTAACAGCAACAACAATATATTATAGTACTTATGGACTCCCGGTGTGGTGTTTTCGGATAAGCAGTGGACTACGAATCACATAGTCACTGGTTCAAACCCACTGGCCTCTCCTCAGAAACCCTATAGAGGGTCACTTTGAGTCAGAAGTGACTTGGTGGCACATAATAACAACAACAACCTACTGTTTTGTCTATTTGTATATTTTATTACATTTTTCTTCAAGTACAACGTAAGCTAGGCAAGGGCAGATTTTTGTTTGTTTATTATTCTGTTCATCGATGTATCCCAGCAAACACACAGACACAACTGTCTGGTACATACTAGGTTCTCCATAGTTATTTGTTGAATGAATAAATAGCAAGTAAATGTAATAAACTGCCAATGACTTTCCACATTAGATTAGGATTATATACAGTACTATTATTATACTTTGTTATTAATTGTTTTTGAGTTCTGTTGTGTCGATTCCTATTCATGGAAACCCCAGGTGACGATGTTGA